TTGATTCCATGCCCTCTTGGCAGCTCAGCAGTGCTCTCAGCCAGGACCCTGGGCAATGGACCCAAGGCAATCAAACACCTCTCCCCATTCTGTGAAGGATCCAAATTCTACAGAATCATGCACTCACCCAGAATTCTGAACAAATACTCATTTCCAGCCTTTACACTTGTGAAGAATTTTCAAAGGCTTTCCTAATTTTGGAGTGATAAGTTACACATCCGAGCAAAGAAAGGTTTGCTTCTCATAACATACACACAGGCACTCACAGTGCTTCCTCCCAAAAACTCCATTCCAAATTCACAGTACTTTGCTCTCTTCCCCTTCTACGTTGAGGGGGACCCCAAGGAACACTGCAGATTGTGCTTGTTACTGCCCAAGCCCTTCACACTGTAGGTCCAGCAGTTATGGTGAAATCACTCTCTTGACCCAGTTCTAGGTTGGTGATTTAAACAAAGGCATAGTTGGGTACTGAGGCTCCAATTCCTGGTTGACAGTCCACACAAAAACAAACAGGCTCTTTCCTCCTGCCTTGAAAATAGGAGCACAGCATGGCACAGCATTGAGGAAACAAAATCTGATACACTGAAAAACAGTGCAGGTCTTTCGTGGAAGTGTCCTGGGAGCTGTCTGGAGTGTAGGTGAGGTAAAACTTATATCATACAACACAAAGAGACACTTCTGGAAAGCCTGTTTAGATGTCTCTCTCCCTGCAAAATGTTGTATAGGGACTGTTCCTAACTACTCCTGCCCTCTGCCTTCAAACATTCCCAAGCCAAGTCACCGTTTTATATTGTCTTTGACTTTGGCCAACCTTCTCTGTCTTTCCCTGCCCTTCAAGTTGTCATGGTAGTTGTTATTGCTCCAGGTATCTGTCTTGATTACCTCTCTCATGTAGGTCAATTAAGCCTTTCTTATCTTCTCCAAGCCTGCATCTTCACCTCTCACCCTGTTCTAGGAAAACAAGACCTAGCATGTGAGACATGAAGAAATGGTTTCCTATGAAGGGATTCAAGACTACAAGCAGTCAGCATTCCTGTTCCCATCACACTGAGCTCAACTGCACTTTGAAAGGCTAGATGAGGGCTGGTAAAATGCTCACAAGCTTTTCTTCCCTGTGGACTGCTTAAAACTCTCTTTCTCTGTTTAGCTGATGAGAAACAACTTTTCCTCCACCGATGAAGGAAATCTGCCCAAGCACTGCTTCACTTCTTGGCTCTCAGCTTGCTTTCTGTTTCACACCTTTTCTGCAGATGAAGGAAGTGATGAAGTGTTTTGGTTGAGAGATGAACTCCCCCAAAACTCCTTCCTTTCTACTTTTAACAGGGTGGAGGCATCATAAATAGTGTTACTTGAGAAGTAGAATTAATAACACCACACAGGAGTTGAAAATAATGTGTACAGTCACTAGGCCAGAGTGGAGGTAAGAACTTGTCAGAATCTGAGGAGTTCCATATGTCAGTTTGAGTGCAGCGGAGAGACTGGAGAGATCCTTTGAAGAAGGGCCTGCTGGAATTCGTTTGAGAGAGCTTCATGGAGGTGTGTTTTGATCAGTATTTCAAAGAAAACAAGGTGGCATTTTTAAAGAAAGAGGTGGAAAGCAGATTTCAGGGATAGATGCATCTCCCCATAGAATTCTTTTTCTAAAATCTTTGTACTTTGCAGAATGACTGACATACAGCAGGTACCAGGAGATGATCATTAAGTGAATTGATTAGTAACTGAGATTACATGCTGCCTACTTATTGTTCTAACCTGCTCCCAGAACCGAGTCACATGAGGGGAATGAGACTAACCAGGTACAGGGACAAATGAAGACATTTGAGGAGGGACTTCGGATAACATTTGCTAGTTCCACTCCAATGTCAAAGGAACTTCAATGTTAAACATATTTCCTATTTATCTCACCTCAGAGAGATGCCCTAGGATATAACCACTGAATTCTTAATTTTCTGGATATCAATACAAGAATTGTTAAAAGAATGCTGTTTGAATTGTAAATGAGACATGGAACTGAGTGGAAGATTGCTGAGGTGGGTGGGATGGGGTGGGCAGGGGAGCAGAGTTTGGTGGGAGTTAGTTGAGAAAGACCATATGGCCCCTTTCGAAACTCAGTATTACAACAAGCTTCTTCCAAGTTTCCTTCTGGCTGTCCCTAAAATTTTGGTGTTAGTGTCTTATGAATACAACTACTACTTTACGAAGGGTATAAGAATAGAGTGTTGATTTAGATTATTTTGGTCAGTGTATTCGTCAATTCTCCCACTGCTATAAAGAAATACCTGGAACTGAGTAATTTATAAAGGCAAGAGCTTCCTTGGTTCACGGCTGTGCAGGCTACACAGGAAGCATGGCTGGGGAGGCCTCAGGAAACTTACAATCATGGCAGCAGGGGAAGGGGTAGCATGGCAGGAGCAAGAAGCAGAGAGAGCGAGAGAGAAGGGGGAAGTATACACACTTTCAAATAACCAGATCTTGTAAGAACTCTATCACAAGGCAGCACTAAGGGATGGTGCTAAATCATTAGAAACCATCCCCCTGATTGAATCACCTCCCACCAGGTCTCACCTCTGACACTGGGGATTATAATTCCACATGAGATTTGGGTGACATCCCATATCAGTCAGTCTTTGTCTCATTTGTCATATCTAGAATATTCTAAATATTGATAATGTGTTTGATAATATTAATATTTCATTGCATGTAAAAATTTTAGATGCAGTTATGAAGGATAATGGAATTTCCTCTGGATAAGGAAGAAGAAAAGTAAAGGATATGTTGCTGGATGTTAAAATGGAATGTGTGGTGGGGGTGGGGCGTGGGGGAGGATAGTCTGTAGATATACACAAATCAGCTGACCTGGGGCCAATTTTCAGAGAAACTTTGCTGCTGTGATTAGTGTGGTTAGTTACTAACTTTCCTTTTCTTTCTACCTTCTTATTCACTTATTGTCTAATGAAGGCAAAACTCTTTCCCCTCAATGTGCTCTTTCCCTTCTTCACCTTATCCTTCACATCAAAGAAAAATATGGACGGGTGTGGTGTCTCAAGCCTGTAATCCCAGCACTTTGGGAGGCCGAGGCGGGTGGATCACGAGGTCGGCAGATCGAGACCATCCTGGTCAACATGGTGAAACCCCGTCTCTACTAAAAATTACAAAAAATTAGCTGGGCACGGTGGCGTGTGCCTGTAACCCCAGCTATTCAGGAGTCTGAGGCAGGAGAATTGCCTGAACCCAGGGGGCGGAGGTTGCAGTGAGCCGAGATCGCGCCATTGCACTCCAGCCTGGGCAACAAGAGCGAAACTCCGTCTCAAAAAAAAAAAAAAAATCTCCATCTCTATATCTGTCTTTGCTACTGTGCTTCACAATAAATTTTTTTTTAAAAATAAAACTACTTTCATCTTCTCACATTTTTAGATGATCCAAAATCAATCATCTTGTCCTACCTCATTCCTTTCAAATAAATTTAGATTTTTACTGTTCATTCTCACCTGCAGGCTCATAAAATAACTAAGGAGGCACAGCCTGGAGGTGAGAGCTTGAAGCTGCCGGCCAAAGCCAATGGGTGTGAATGGCAGTGTGAAAATAAATGGAGACCTACCCAGTGAGGAAAATCAAAGGCTGTTATTATTTAGAGCTTGCTACAGCAAGGGAGTCAGCCACCATCACTTGTGTTTTGGAAAAGGCTAAAAAACTGGCAGAGGACTAGGAAATCTTCAGTGGAAAAATCCTTCCGTGGAAGGCTTCAGGTGTGCCTTGATTGGAGGCTGCTGGGACTAGGAAGCTGGAGGTGGCTGGCTAGCAGCGGACAACCTGTGTGATTGGTTGCGGGAGTGTATTCTGCATTCTCTGGTCGGTCCTAAGTTAGAAGTGGAAACTCAAATTAGGGGGATTGTCAATTAGTAATCATATTAAAATGGTCAATAAGTATTTGAGAAAATGCTCAACATCATGAATCATCAGGGAAATGCAAATCAAACCCACAGTGAGGTATCATGTCACCGCAGTTAGAACGACTATTATCAAAATGCCCACAGATAACAAATGCTGGCCTGGATGTGGAGAAGGGAACTCTTTTGAAAGCTTTTTTTTATATTTATACTTTAAGAGACAGGATCTTGCTGAGGCTGGAGTGCAGTGGTGCAGTCATACATAGCTGACTGTAACCTTGAACTCATGGCCTCAAGTTATCCTCCCTACTTGGCCTCCCAAAAGTGCTAGGGTTAAAGGAATGAGCCATTGTGCCTAGCCCCAAAGGGAACATACACAGTTGGTGGGAATATAAATTAGTGCAGCTATTGTGGAAAACAGATGGAGATTTCTCAAAACACTGAAAATAGAAATACCATACAATCCATCAATCCCACTATGGATATTTACTATAGAAGAAAAGGAAATCAGTATCTCCCAGGGATACCTGAACCTCCATGTTTATTGCAGCACTATTCGAAATAGCATAGATATGGAATCAACCTAAGTGTCCATCCACAGATGAATGGATTTTTAAAAATGTGGCACATATACACAATGGAATACTATTCAGTCATAAAAAAGAATGATATTCTGTCATTTGCAGCAACATGGATGGAACCAGAGGTCATTATGTTAAGTGAAATAAGTCAGGCACAAAAAGAAAAATATTGCATGTTCTTACATGTGGAAGCTAAAAAATGTTGATCTCATGGAGATAGAGAGTAAAATGATAGATACCAGAGGCTGGGGAAGATGCATGCGTGTGGGGGCAGGGAAAAAGAGAGGTTGATTAATGGATACAAAAATATAGTGAGATAGGAGGAATAAGTTATAGAGCTTGATAGCACAATACGGTGACTACAGTTGACAAAAATATATTGTATATTTCAATATAGCTAGAAGAGAAGGTTTGGAATGTTCCTAACACAAAGAAATAATGTTTGAGCCAAATAAATGTTTGAGCCAATGGATGTCCTAAACCCTGATTTGATCATGACACATGGTATGCACGTATCAAAATATCACACGGGTATGCAATTATTGTGCATCAAAAATTAATATTTTTTAAAACGACTTATTTTAAAGCAAAAAAAAAAATTAGTCATAGCTTTTTGGGGCCAGTTGTTGCAGGGGTTATAGTTTGGCTTCCTGGACTGTTGCGAGACATAGCAGCCTGACTTCCCACAAGTCTAACACAGCCGGTGGGCTTCCCGGGCTGGCTACTGTACACACTGTGTTTGCTTCCTCGGCAGGTTGCTGCAGGCTGTGGGTCAGAGTTCTGTCTTTCAGGCATGGTCTGGCTGTTTTCTGTTTGCCTGTTTAGTCTCTCAATAGAGTTGCAAGACACAGAAGGTAGAGCTTTGCCCTACCAGGAAAGGCTAAAATTTCTGAAGGCACAGAAGCTCACACTGGATTATTCATCCACTTACATCACTTCATGTGTCAGTCATCAAAGCAAGGTTGAGGCTTGAGGCTTGGGAGCAAGCCCTAGCTGCCTCACTCCACCCCAGGCAATTGGTGGTAGGTTAGCCAGGGCAGCTGTTCTCTCTGAGGCTCACTCACACTGTGGCTCAGCGAGCTTCTGAGCCACAGCAGTGCTCAGAAAGCTAGCGGGAAACTCCTATCCCTTAGGCTGTAATTGCTCTGTAATTTATTCAGAAGGAGGGAACCTTGTACTCATGTACTCGGAATGACAGGCAGCAGTATTGAAAAGCTATCAGCAGACCGTGAGCATGTTGAATGCAGCTCCTGGTCTCCTTTTCCATCTGCATGAGTTGGCCTGACAGTCTGACTCCCTGAAAATAAGATCGCATACGGGGGAAGCTGTTTTTCTTCTTAATTTCTTGATTTGATCTGGCCTGCATCATCCCCCTTCTATGTCAAACTCTGGGATTCCAAGGTTTTAAAAAAATAATGGTAAAGATTTGCTTGGTGCTAGAGATTCACAATTGCTAAAGAGCTGTTTTGAGGATTAATGTAAATATTTCTTTAATAAATGACTGAATAAAAAACAAACAGAACAAATGACTGAATTTAGAACTCATCTTAGATTTCACTGTGCCTCTGGGAAGTCTGTGGTACCTTGCTGGTCAGAGGGGTGCCCTGTGGTCCCCCTGGCTTCTGTACCTCAGTGTTGACAGACAGCCCTGGTGAGTGGCGACGGTGTTCCTACCACTCTCCTCCTTTACTCTGTAAGCTACATTTTTGGAACAAGGACCACATTTTTTTCTCCATCCCCAGTACTTGCCACTGAAACTGCACAGGGCAGGAATGAGTCTAGTGTTCCTGAAAGGAACATGAAAACAGTACAAGAAAAAAGCTTGGCAATTTGGTAATACTGAAGAGAATGTTCCTAGCATCACCACCATGCCTTTCTTCACTGCCTTTAAGGATTAGCCAAATTTTTTTTGTAACATTTCAGTCTACAGTGTATGAACCATTTATAAAGGGCTACCAAGTGATAAAATACTATCTTATCTCTGAGGCGATTGTATCTGAGCAGGGAAGTAGGCTCTGCTGATAGATTCAGGTAAACAGAATTAGTGCCAAATGAAATGCCTACATGAAAAATGGTTGCCGGGGCATGAGGTGCTTGGGTGGGCAAGTAAGAGGGAAGGCTTCCAGCTGGCCCATTATGGTGCCATCCAAGGAAAGAGAAATGCAGGGAATGGGGTAGACCAGATAAAATCAATCCTGGACACGGAGAGTCGGAGGTACTTATCAGACATCAAACACAGTGCAGAAGAGAGAGCATGCTGGAGTTATTGATTTGTGAGTCAGTAGCACTGAAGTGATCACTGAAGCCTCAGAGTGAGTGCTTTTGTCCAGGTACAGTGAAAATTAGTAAAGAAAAAGAGCAGAAAGCCCAAGACTGTGCCCTGAGAAACACCCATCTCAGGGACAAGAAGAGGGACCTGCTATGGATGCAGAAAAGCAACCAGAAAAGAAGGAAAGGCCAGAAATAGGAAACCAGGAGACAGAATACTAGGAGATTGAGACAGAAAAGACTTGGAACTGTGATCGCCCCCAAACAAAGAGGCTGTGGGTCAATCCTGACCTTTATAATAAGAGTTGCTTATATTAATAGGTAATTTCTGCAGGAAAGAGAAAGACATGAACATCTTCCACTTCTAACTCATATGACTTTTCCAAAATCTAGGCTGACTAAAAATATAGAAGGTAGTTGAAAAAAAATACAAATAGGCAATATATAAGTTTTCTTTACTTGTGAAATACTCATAAATGCAATCATCTACTGTCAGTGAAGTAACAAGTTGCTTACTTTCATTTTATTTTATTTTTTCATAGATGGGGTCTTGCTATGTGGCCCAGTCAGGTCTCAAACTCCTGACCTCAGGCAATCTTCTTGCCACAGCCTTCCAAATTGCTGGAATTACAGGCATGAGCCACTGTGCCCAGTCCTGTTTCTTTTAAAACCAGATAAAATAGTACAAAATAACTCACATAATTCCTATAAAACATATGCTCAATCCAGACATTTTGTAAGATTCCAGTGGCCCGTAATGAAACTGACATTGCCTAGGAAACTTGTGTCCCTTTAGTGCAGATCAGAAATGGAGCCATATTTGCATAGAAAATGACTGTTGTAGAACAAGCCCTGTGGCCTAATGTGTCTTGTTATTTGACAAGATGGTGAGCCAGGAGAGATAGAATAATAGAATTCAGTATTGGTGGAGGCAGAGAGTCCTCTACCCTGTCAGGGACGGAGGAAGGTGAATGAGAAGGTGCACAAAAGATTATGGGTTTGTTAGTAGGACGTTCAAGGACATTTTTCTGATACCTTCTACTGTCTTTGAAGTAGGAGGTGAGGTAATTTGCTGAGAATGAGCAGAGTGGGAGTAAGGATGTATGCATGCAGAAAATGCAAATGTTTCCATTTTTGGTTTAGTTGGTTTTTTTTTTTTTTGGTGGAGAATATAAGAGAAAGATGACTTAGGGAAAGATAGGATGGGTAGGTAGTTCAATTTAGAGGGGCACCAGCATGAGACTTTCCTCTTCAACCAAAACTATTTTAATTCCTCTGTCTACCACCAGAGCAACTGAGTTTACCTCCTTTTCTTACAAATAATACTCGTGTGTGTTTCTGAAGAATTGTCCTTCTGCCAAGGCACCTGTGGTTTAAACGAGCTGCCTTCCTTCTGATGGTTCATGATGCTTCTCTTTGTGCAGCTGAGACAGGTAGGCTCTCCTTGCCTTCCACATGAGTAAAAGCTTCCTGACACCCTCACCAGAAGCTAGGCAGATGCTGATGCCATGCTTCTTATACAGCCTGCAGAACTGTGAGCCAAATAAACCTCTTTTCTTTATAAATTACCCAACCTCAGGTATTCCTTTATAGCATGCAAAATGAACGAAGTAACATCTTACTCCGGTCTAGTTCATATCATAGAGATAGTTGTACATATTTATGGGGTACAATGTGACGTTTCAATGCATGTACACATAGTGTAATGATCAGAGCCATTTCCGTATTCATAACTTTAGACACTTATCCTTTCCTGGTGGTGGTGACATTCAAAATCTTCTCCTGAAATACATGCCACATTGTTATTTGCTACAGTCACCCTGTTGTGTAGTTGTGGATATTTATAGTGATACTGAATTTCCTGGTGGAATAAGGCTTTACATTTTTTCTACTGATTTCTTCTACCATGTTGCACTAGAGAACACGAAGTGCAAATGATAATGATAATGATGATGATATTTTGAAAACCAACCAAAATACAGGTACTATCAAATGTGAATGCAAATGGCTTTCACTTTAAAACAGCATCTAACTGGTAAACACTTTGCTACCTCTCTCATAGACACCCTAAAATATTTGTAAAAATAGAGGAAGAATAACATTCTTTTTTTCTTGGTTGTAAGAACACTTAACATAGAAGCTACACTCCTAGTGAATTTTTAGGTGTATAAGACATTACTCTTGACTAAAAGCCCAATGTTGTACAGCACATCTCTAGAGCTTAGTCATCTTGCATTGCTGAAATGTTACACCCATTGAATAGCAGCTGTCCATTTCTTCATCCTCCCTGCCTCCTTTTTTGTGTCTACTTTATATATCTCACAAATATTGCTATCATGCTTATTTCCCTTAGCATACGGTCCCAAGGTTTATTCATGTTGTCACAATGCCTCAAGGTTTATTTATGTTGTCACAGATGGCAGAATTTCCTTCATTTTTTAAGGCTGAAAGATATTCCATTATGTGTATATAACACATTAATATGGTTTGGGTCTCTGTCCCCACCCAAATATCATTTCAAATCATAATCTTCAGTGTTGGAGGTGGGGCCTGATGGGAGGTGATTGGCTCGTGGGGGTGGATTTCCCCTTTGATGCTGTTCTTGTGACAGTGAGTGAGTGATCGTGAGATCTGGTGGTTTAAAAGGATGAATATACACATTTTCTTTATCCACACATCCATTGATGAAGATTTAGGTTGTTTCTACATCTTGATTACTGTGAATAATGCTGTAATGAACACGGGAGTGCAAATATCTCAAGTTCCTCCTTTCAGTTCTTTTGGATAAATACACGAAAGTAAGAGTGATCGTGTGGTGTTGCTATTTTTAAGTTTTTTAGAAACCTCCATATTGTTTTCCATAGGGGATGCACAATTTTACATTCCTGCCAACAGTGCAAAAAGCTTTCAATTCCTTCACATCCTGATCAACACGTACCATTTTTTTTTTTTTGGACAATAGCCATCCTGACAGGTGTGAGGTTATATCTCATTGTACTTTTGATTTGCATTCCCTTGATGGTTAGTGATATTGAGCACCTTTTCTGTTTATTTGTTTCCTGGTTTGTATGTCTGTTTTGAAACAGAGTCTTGCACCCAGGTTGACAGCAGTGGTGCAAACATGCCCACTACAGCTACAATCTCTTGGGCTCAAGAGATCCTCCTGCCTCAGCCTCCCAAGTAACTGAGACTACAGGTATGTATGACTACACCAGGATAATTAAACAAAAATTTGTAGAGATGGGATCTTGTTATGTTGCCCAGGCTGGTCTCAAACTCCTGGGCTCACACAATTTTACCACCTCAGACTCCCAGAGTGCTGGGATTACAGGCATGATCCACTGTGCCTGGCTGAGCATCTTTTCATCCACCTCTTGGTCATTTGTATTCTTTGGAGAAATGTCTATTTAAGTATTTTGCCCATTTTTTATTTTTTTTAAATGAAACAGAATTTATTAGTGTATTTACATAACTTATAATCTTTAAGCGATGGCCTCATAAATATAGACTACAACTTTACATATGCAAAGCAACCAATACTTGTTTTTCCCCACCAAAATACCTGGGTGAAAAAAAAATTGACACCATTTACACCAGCTTCTTTACTTCCTCTCTTCTTCCTTTTTAAACAATTGCTAGTCAATTAGAACACATGAAATTCAATTTATTCCAGGCAGCTTCTGTACCATCACCATCTTGATCATGAGAGCTTATTTTAAAAAGGTGCCAGTAACATGTTTGGTGGCACACACATGACAAGGTCAGAAGCAAACCCAGGGGGAGCTAGCGGTCTGCTGCTATCCTTGTTAATTTACTGTACATATCCTAGGCTAACATAGTCAATGAAAAGTGCTTTAGAGATGACAGAGATGAAGTCATTTCCATCAGTCCTATAAATAACCCATTTTAGCTTCAGATCATAATCGTTCTCTCTTCACTAAGACTATCCTACTACATTTTCAATCAAACAACTCCCTCTAACAGCGGTAACAGAAACCCAGGAAATTACAATCTCCACGAGGTCTTTTTTTCCCTTACGAGCCACAGAAGTACTAATTTTCCCTTTACAAATGTTACATAAAATTGTGATGACAAAACTACTCAACAACTTAATCATACCATCCATACAATTATATGTTCCTTTTCAGCAAGGTCAAAAGCCAATGATGCAGTCCCTTTGCACGCTAGAGATTCTTTACATAATAGAAGTCCACAGACAAATATCATTGCTGCCGTTTTTAGAGAAGAGACTGGTCAATTTCTATGAATTCTTTTTTGCACGGAGAAGACTCAACACCGGCTAGGTGGAAACTGGTGGCAGGACCCCAGCCCTCCTGTTAACCTTCAGGACCGCCTACTTCATCATCAAGTCTGAGGAGCTGAGGTTCGGTCAGCAGCAGCTCCGCTTTGGCTCTGAAGGCTGCCTTCGGAGTTTGAAACCCTTGCCACCAGAAGGCGGGTTGGCGTCGGTGGATGGAATTCTTTGACTAATTTCTGTAAAGAGTTCACTTATGTTTATCACGTTTTTTGCGCTGGTCTCTGCAAAAATTGCATGAATAAGGTCGGCATAGTCCTTTGCATCTCTCTCCATGAATTCTCTTACATCAATATGATCACACTTACTTCCTGCAATGGCAACTGCAATATTATGTGGGCCATGCTGTCCAAGCTCTTTCACCCAATTCTTTCATGTTGAAAATGTCTCTTCTTTTGTGATATCATAAACGATTATAGCTGCGGCCGACCCTCGACAGGACATTGGTGCTAAGGCACGAAATCGTTCTTGTCCAGCTGTACCCCAGATTAGAAATTTACGGCAGCTCATGTTGGTACTGGACAGTCTTGGTCATAAAAGATGCCCCCATTGTTGGGTTGATGTTTGGATCAAAACGGTCTTCCACAAACCACCACCCACCTGTATCCCGCAGCAGACACACTTTGAGCTCCCTCAGCGCCATGGCCAGGGAGCCAGGGGCCCCGGGCCCGCCGCTGCCCTAAATTGAGGAGGGAGAGGCCGGGCCCAGCAAGAGCATCCCCTGGCGGCATCGCCTCCGGCAGGCCCAGGCCAGGTTGGCGCAAAGGCGGCTGCGGCTCGTCCTCCAGCATTAGGTCCGACCTGTCCGCTGCCAGTCAAGTGAAGCCCGCCTTAACAGCAGAGGCCTTCCGGGCGCCACCGCCTCCGCCTCTCTTGTCCATTTTTTATCTGGGTAATTTGTTCTTTTGTTATTGAGTTGAAGGAGTTCCTTATATTTTTTGAATATTAACCGTTTATCAGATATATGGTGTGCAAATATTTTCTCCCATTCTGCAGTTTGCATTTTCACCCTCTCCGTTGTTTATTTTGCCGAAGCTCTTTAGTTTGATCTTGTCCTGAATGTCTATTTTTGCTTTCATTGGCTGTGCTTTTGGTGTCATGTCTAAGAAATCATTGCCAAGACCAGTGACACAGCTTTCCTTTATGTTTTCTACTCGAAGTTTTAGTTTCAGGTCTTATATTTAAGTCTTTAATCTATTTTGAGTTTTATGTATAAAGTTTAAATTTCATTCTTTTGCAGGTGGCTATCCAGTTGTCCAACACCATTTGTCGAAGAGAATGTCCTTTCCCCATTGTATATCCTTGGCATCCTTGTCAAGATAAGTTTACAAGGTAAGTTTCTGGGCTCGCTATTATGTTACATTGATTTATATGTCTGTCTTCATGCAAATATCAATTTATTTTAATTATTATAGAAAGTCTGATGCCTCCAGGTTTTGCTCTTATTTCTGAAGACTGTTTTGGCTATTTGGGGTACTTTGTGATTCAATATAAATTTTAGAATTCTATTCCTGTAGAAAAATGCCACTGGATTTTTGTTAGGAATACATTAAGTCTATAAATCACTTTTGGTACTATGGACATCTTAACAAACATAAGCCTTTTAATCCATAAGTACAATATGTCTTACCATTTACTTGTATCTTCTTTAATTTCATCAATTTTAAAAATAGTTTTTGACAGACAATTTTTCCAGCATCATGATTACATGTATTTTAAATATTATATTTTTCTTAATGGAAATTGAATTATTTTCTTAATTTTTATTTCAAATGGTTTCTAAGTAGTATATGGAAATTGAACTGATTTTTGATATAAACTGTGGTGACTGGCAAGATGGCCAAATAGGAACAGCTCTGGTCTGCAGCTCCCAGCGAGATCAACCCAGAGGTTGGGTGATTTCTGCATTCCCAACTGAGGTACCCGGCTCATCTCACTGGGACTGGTTAGACAATGGGTGCAGCTCACAGAGGGAGAGCCAAAGCATGGTGGGGCATTGCCTCATCTGGGAAGCAGAAGGGGTAGGGGAACTCCCTCCACTAGCCAAGGGAAGCTGTGAGGCACTGTGCTGTGAGGAATGGTGCACTTTGGCCCAGATGCTATGCTTTTCCCATGGTCTTTGCAACCTGCAGACCAGGAGATTCACTCGGGTGCCTGTGCCACCAGGGCCCTGGGTTTCAAACACAAAACTGGGTGGCTGTTTGGGCAGACACTGAGCTAGCTGCAGGAGTTTTTGTTCATACCCAGTGGTACCTCGAATGCCAGTGAGACAGAACTGTTCACTTCTCTGGGAAGTGGGCTGAAGCCAGGAGCCAAGAGATTTAGCTCAGTGGATCTCACCCCCACAGAGTCCAGCAAGCTAAGATCCACTGACTTGAAATTCTCGCTGTCAGAATAGCAGTCTGAAATCAACCTGGGATGCTTGAGCTTGTTGGGATAGGGTGGCCCCCATTACTGAGGTTTGAGTAGGCAGTTTTCCCCTCACAGTGTAAACAAAGCTGCCAGGAAGTTCAAACTGGGCAGAGCCCACCGCATCTCAACAAAGTCACTGTAGCTAGACTACCTTTCAAGATTCCTCCTCTCTGGGCAGTGCATCTCTGAAAGAAAGGCAGCAACCCCAGTCCAAGGCTTATAGATAAAACTCCCATTTCCCTGGGACAGAGCACCTATGGAAGGGACCAGCTGTGGGCACAGCTTCAGTAGACTTAAATGTTCCTGCCTACCAGCTCTGAAGAGAGCAGTGGACCTCCAAGCACAGCACTCAAGCTCTGCTAAAAGTTAGACTGCCTCCTCAAATGGGTCCCTGACCCCATGCCTCTTGACTGGGAGACACCTCTCAGTAGAGGTCAACAGACACCTCCTATAGGAGAGCTCTGGCTGGCATCTGGCAGGTGCCCCTCTGGGACAAAGCTTCCAGAGGAAGGAACAGGCAGCTATCTTTACTGTTCTGTAGCCTCTGCTGGTGATACCCAGGCAAGCAGGGTCTGGAGTGGACCTCTAGCACTCCAATAGACCTGAAGAAGAAGGGCCTGCTTGTTAGAAGGAAAACTAACAAGCAGAAAGGAATAACATCAACATGAACAAAAATAATCTCCACACAGAAACTCCACCTGAAGGTCAGCAACATTAGAGACCAAAAGTAGATAAATCCATGAAGATGAGGTAAAACCAGTGCAAAAAGGCTGAAAATTCCAAAAACCGGAATGCCTCTTCTCCTCCAAAGAATCACAACTCTTCAACAGCAAGGGAACAAAACTGCATGGAGAATGAGTTTGATGAATTGACAGAAGTAGGCTCCAGAAGGTGGTTAATAACAAACTCCTCTGAGCTAAAGGGGCATGTTCTAATTCAATTCAAGGAAACTAAGAACCTTGAAAAAAAGTTAGAGGAACTTCTAACTAGAATAAACAGTTTAGAGAAGAACATAAATGACCTGATGGAGCTGAAAGCACAAGGACTTCATGAAGTATACATGTTATCAATAGCTGAATCAATCAAGCAGAAGAAAGGCTATCAGAGGCTGAAAATCAACTTAATGAGATAAAGTGTGAAGATAATATTAGAGAAAAAAGAATGAAAAGAAACAAACAAAGCCTCTAAGACTCAACCTACGTTTGATTGGTATACCTGAAACTGATGGGGAGAATGGAACCAAGTTGGAAAACAATCTTCAGGATATTATCCAGGAGAACTTTCCCAAATTAGCAAGACAGGCCAACATTCAAATTCAGGAAATACAGAGAACATCACAAACATACTCCTCGAGAAAAGCAACCCCAAGACACATAATTGTCAGATTCACCAAGGAAAAATGTTAAGGACAGCCAGAGAGAAAGGTCGGGTTACCCACAAAAGGAAGCCCATCAGACTAACAGTGGATCTGTTGGCAGAAACCCTTCAAACCAGAAGAGAGTGGGGGCCAGTATTCAACATACTTAAAAGAATTTTCAGAATTTCATATCCAGCCAAACTAGCTTCATAAGTGAAAGAAATAAAATTCTTTACAGACAAGCAAATGCTGAGAGATTTTTGTCACCACCAGGCCTGTATTATAAGAAATGCTGAAGGAAGTACTAAATATGGAAAGGGAAAACTGGTACTAGCCACTGCAAAAACATACCAAATTGTAAAGACCATCAACACTATGAAGAAACTGCATCAATGAACAGGCAAATTAACCAGCTAGCATTATAATGATAGGATCAACTTCACACATAACAATATTAACCTTAAATGTAAATAGGCTAAATGCCCCAATTAAAATACTGGACAAAGAGTCAAAAAAATTGAATAAAGATTCAAGACTCATTGGTGTGCTGTATTCAGGAGACCCATCTCACATGCAAAGACACACACACATAGGCTCAAAATAAAGGGATAGAGAAATATTTACCAAGCAAATGGAAAGAAAAAAAAGCATGGATTGCAATTCTAGTCTCTGAAAAAACAGACTTTAAACCAACAAAGATCAAAAAAGACAAAGAAGGCCATTTCCGAATAATAAAGGGATCAATGCAACAAAACGAGCTAACTATCCTAAATATATTTGCATTCAATAGAGGAGTACCCAGATTCATAAAGCAAGTTCTTAGAGATATACAAAGAGACTTAAACTCCCAAACAACAATAGTGGGAGACTTTAACACCCCACTGTCAATATTAGACAGATCAACAAGACAGAAAATTACCAAGGATATTCAGGACTTGAACTCAGCTCTGGAGCAAGCAGACCTAATAGACATCTACAGAACTCTCCACCCCAAATCAACAGAATATGCATTCTTCTCAGCACTATGTCCTACTTATTCTAAAATTGATCACATAATTGGAAGTAAAACATTTCTCAGCAAATGCAAAAGAATGAAAATCGTGACAGTCTCTCAAATTACAACTCAGGATTAAGAAACTCACTCAAAATTGCACAACTACATGGAAACTGAGCAAGCTGCTTCTGAATGACTACTAGGTAAATGACAAAATTAAGACAGAAATAAATAAGTTCTTTGTAACCAAGGGAGAACAAAGACACACTGTACCAGAATCTCTGGGACACAGCTAAAGCAGTGTTTAGAGAGAAATTTATAGCACTAAATGCCCACAGGAGAGAGCAGGAAAGATCTAAAATCGACAGTCTAACATCACAATTAAAATAACTAGAGAAGCAAGAGCAAACAAATTCAAAAGCTAGCAGAAGACAATAAATAACTAAAATTGGAGCAGAACTGAAGGAGACAGACACACACACACACAAAAACCCTTCAAAAAAAAATCAATGAATCTAAGAGGTGGTTTTTTGAAAAGATCAACAAAATAAATAGACTGCTAGTCAGACTAATAAAGAAGAAAAGAGAGAAGAATCAAATCGACACAATAAAAATGATAAAGGGGATATCATCACTGATCCCACAGAATACAAACTATCATTAGAGAATACTATAAACAGCTCTACACAAACAAACTAGAACATCTAGAAGAAATGAATAAATTCCTGGACACATACACCCTCCCAAGATTAAACCAGACAGAAGTAAAATCTGTGACTAGACCAATAACAAGTTCTGAAATTGAGGCAGTAATTAGTAGCTTGCCAACCAAAAAAATCCCAGGACCAGATGGATTCATAGAGGTACAAAGAGAAGCTCGTACCATTCCTTCTGAAACTATTCCAAACAATAGAAAAAGAGGAAATCCTCCCTAACTCAGTTTATGAGGCTAGCATCATCCTGATACCACAACTTGGCAGAGACATAACAAAAAAAAGAAAATTTCAGGCCAATATCCCTGATGAATATTGATGCAAAAAGCTTCAATAAAATACTGGCACAGTAGCACATCATAAAGCTTATCCACCACAATAAAGTCAGCTTCATCCCTGGGATACAAGGCTGGTTCAACATATGCAGTAAATCAATAAACATAATTCATCATATAAACAGAATCAGTGACAGAAACTACATGATTATCTCAATAGAAGCAGAAAAGGCCTTCAATAAAATTCAACATCCCTTAATGCTAAAAACTCTCAATGAACTATCTCAAAATAACAAGAGCTATTTATGAGAATGTATCTCAAAATAACAACAGCTATTTTTGAGAAACCCACTGCCAATATCATACCAAATGGGCAAAAGCTGGAAGCATTCCCTTTGAAAACTGGCACAAGACAAGGATGACCTCTCTCATCACTCCTATTCAACACAGTATTGGAAGTTCTGGCCCAGGAAATCAGGCAAGATAAAGAAATAAAGGGGATTCAAATTGGAACAGAGGAAGTCAAATTGTCTGTGTTTGCAGATGACATATTGTATATTTAGAAAATTCCATTGTGTCAGCCCCAAATCTCTTTAAGCTGATAAGCAACTTCAGCAAAGTCTCAGGATAAAAAATCAATGTGCAAAAATCACAAGCATTCCTATACACCAATAATAGACAGAGAGCCAAATCATGGGTAAATTCCCATTCACAATTGAATTCCCATTCACAATCGCTACAAATAGAATAAAATACCTAGGAATAAAACTTACAAGGGATGTGAAGGACTTCTTCAAGGAGAACTACAACCCTCTGCACAAGGAAATAAGAGAAGACACAAA